GACGCAGGCAGATGGCGGCCCGCCCCGCCCTGCGCCCCCCGCGCCCCTTTCTCCGGCGGCGGCTGCAGCCTCCCGGAACAATGTCATTTTTTTATGAATGAAAGTGGGCCCGGCGCTTGAATGTGCGTGTCATTCAGCGGCGTGACAGAGGCCGTCGGGAGGTCAGCGCGCGCTTTTAGCGCTTGCTCGGGCGGCCCCCGCTTGCAGGGGCGCCGAATAGGCGGCCGCGGGGGGAGCCCCGCATTAGCATTCTGAATTCGCATTCAGATAAAGATATTACTCCCTACGGCCGGAGAATGTCAACTAGCCCCGGGGGAGGGGGCGGCGCGCGGGGCTCCAGACCCCCTCCTGGACCCCCTGCCGTGCGCAGGGGCTGCGGCCTCCATTCTTCCGCGAGCTGGCAGTGCCTGCTGGGACTCAAAGCCAGTGATGCCCCCACGGGATGCGGGCCTGGGGCAGAGCTATAGGAGGGACCCCCCAGGGATGCGAGAAGGGGGGCGCAGGGCCTCCTCTCTCTGCTGGAGCGTGGGCGTGCCCCCTCCCCCGCCGCAGAGCTGGCGAAGCTGGTTGGGAGTTGATAGGTCAATAAACTTAATCCGGTTCCTTAAAGAGATGGGCTGGGCAGTGAGAACACAAAGACCTGTGAAATTGCGGAGTTCTTGGCTGGCACTTTCTTGAGAACATAAACTGTGGAGCCAGAACTGTCTGCGGGTCAAGGACGGTGGGGACTGGGCGTCCTGTCAGCCACGGGGCTGCCCTGGCCACCTCAGGCCCCACCAAAGCAGCTTCAAGTCTCCACGTGGGGCACGTTCTTGGTGAGGGGTCTGGGCAGGGCGCCCCACCTGGAAGGGAGGTCAGTGGGAGCAGCAGGAGGCGACCCCCTGCAGCCTGACCCCACCCAGCCAGCAGGGGTCTTTGCTGCGAGCAGCCTCTCCCTGGAGGGCCCTGGCTGCAGCCTCTCCACCTCCTCCCCTTGCTCGGGCTGGACTTTGAGCCTCCAGGGCCTCTGGGTGGTTCATTAACCTGGGCCGAGCCCCAGGCTGGACTTGTGGCCTCTGAGCCTCTGCACTGAGCCCACGAGTGCCCCCTCTCCCAGGGCCTCAGGTCCCACTTGGGGCCAGTTGAGGAAAGAATGTTATGAGTTTACTTGAGTCAAACTGTAAATTACTGGGAAGCAAAATCTCAACAGATTGAGAAAAAGCTCCAGAGAATGGCAGCTTTGCAGCTTATACATTAGAATCGAAGGAGACATAACTGGGGTTCGTAACATCTGCTGGTGGTAGTCGGGGCGGGGGGGAGAACGCAATGCGAGGAAGGCTCTGGGGCTGGAGACGAAGGAAAACAGATGCGTGGTTTCGTGCGGGTGGCCAGCGGGGTTCACGTGCGCAGCACAGAGACGCTCTGCGGGGAACAGTGTGGTCTCGGGGCTCCGGTGCTTGTGGCGGTGCCTGGGAGGGGTCTGCAGAAGGGAGCGCTCTGACATGTCGAAGGTGTGTTGTCTTAGATGCACAAGACTAAAATAGACAGTCTCGAGGTTAACGATTGACGTTTGTCGGGGAAGCTCAGTCAGGTGACTACCCACCAGGACCTGCTCTTAGGTAGGGATTTTTAGGTTCAGACCACCCTGTGCGGCTGCTTTGGTCCCTGGGTTTCTGGGGCCTCCCGTGGGGCCTCCCCTGAGCTCCTCAGGTTCAGTGTGTGTCACCTTTTCTGTCCATAGGAGCAATCTGGAGCCTGGGGCGCCCCATTTTATAGCTGAACCTAGAGAGGAAAGTAGAGTCTTCTTGAGGAGGTGGGGCCAGAGTCTGTCCAGGCAAGGGTTTGGGTGAGGGCCCCCCACTTCACCCCACCCCCACCCCACCGGCCACACAGAGGCCTGAGTGATTTACAAGTGAATGAGCTGTGAGTGGGGCCTCTTCTGGCCGGGAGGAAGGGGCCAGGCTACCAGCCCCTCGGTTTCCTCACCGGTCCAGGCAGACCGGTAATGGGGGGGCTAATGGAGGATTAGGCCGGATTAGCCTGTGAGCCCTCATTAGCCCGCCCAGCCACGATGCCCCCTTTTCTACTTTGTTATGAAACTTGGAGGAACTTGGAGGTGGGAACCTTCCCAGAGACTTCGGGGTCCCTTTGGGGCACCTCCTCCCTGGGGCAGCACGTCGCAGACTCCGCAGAGCTGCGAGGAGCTTCCTGAACTACAGAACCAGAAGCTTCGTTCCTCACCCGACCCCGAAACCCACAGCCCTCGGGGCGCCAGCGCCAGCGGGATGCTTGTTTCCTGGCCGTGTGGCTCCTGGTCAGGCACAGCCCCGTGTGGGGGTGAGTGCCGAGGTGGGCCAGGAGCTGTGGGACCCGCGGGGGTATGTGCTGCCTGTGGCCACCCTCCCATGGCATGTGGGTGCCTGCTGTGGCACACAAGACTTTTGTCCTCTGTGGGTACCCAGTGCCTGTGTGGGTGTGGGCAGCCCCCCTTTGTTGATCAAGAAAGACTCCTTCCTGGGGCCACTCTAGGGGTGGGGCTGCGGGCCCCGCCTCTCTCCAGGTAGAGCCAGACACTGGCTGTCTCAGTGCCCCTGCATGCCATCTCCATGTCCCCTGCCTGACACCACCCAGTCAGCCGCTGCTGGTCTCTGCCCCCATCTGGGAGTCCCTGGCCTTTGCAGGCACCTAGCGGGCCAGGCTGGCGGATGGGGTGGGGGTCGGCCCCCTTCCCCCACCCTGGCAGATGGCTGCCCGAGGAGGCTGGCCTGGGGGGCTGCTCTGTGTCCTCCCAGCCCCGTGCTGGACCAGGCTGAAGCGAATGCTCATGCACATGGCTTGACCAGCCATGCGGCTGCCCAGACCAAACCGGAACCAACTGCTGTTGCCCTTGGGCCAGGGCCGGGGCCTGAGGCTGCCATGCTGCCTGCTCTCGGCCTTCTGGGGGGCCTCGGTCGGCTCCTGGTGCTGGGTGGTCCCCACAGGACGTGGTGGCCAGGATGGGGCTGCAAGTCAGGCCAGGCGCCTCACACGGTGGGCTCCCCAGGGACGCAGACCCTATGGACACTCCGGAGACCTTTCTGGTGGGCACGGGGCGTCTGGGGATGCCTGAGGTGGGTGGGCGGAATCGGGGAGCCAAGGACTGGCGTGGCCAGGGTGGGCAGCTGGGCCCTCGAATCTAGGCCATGCGTCGGCAGAATGACAAGTAACGGTGAGGCTGACCCAGCCGTGTGGTGGGACCACCCACCCCTGTCCCGGGCCCTGAGCCCGGGCTGCCCGCCTGCACTGGGCATTGTCTGGCCCTGGCAGGGAGGCCGGGGGTGGTGGTCAGCCCCACCGGCGGTGTGTCTACGGGTCTCAGGCCTTGTTCACCCCTTGGGAGCTGGGCAGCCATTGGCAAGGCCAGGGGCCCAGGGGTGGATGCACCCTCGGCAAGGACCCTCCACCCCAGGTGCACAGCGCCTGTAGGGCGAGATGGGCCAGGCTCCTTCTCCGACATCTTCCTCCCCTCGGCCTGTGTCCTCGTCCGTAACGTGGGGTCCTGGGCCTCCTGGCCCCAAATGCAGAATGGGTTTCGCATGTCTGTGCGGCTGGGAAAAATCAGAGGAAGAGCCGCGCTTCCTGACGCCTCGGGACGGCCTCCCGGTGCCTGTCGATGAAGTCGCGGCCGCGGCGCGGAGCTGGGCCGGGCGGAGGCGCGGGCTCCGGGCGCAGACCCACCGCCCTCAGGGCCCCGAGGCCTCCTGCTGCAGCCCCCGCCAGCCTGTCTGTAAAGTGGGGTGCCACGGGCTCTCCCGAGGGTGTCGAACACCCAGTGTTCTCGGTTTGGGGACACCTGCCTCACGGTCACCCATCTTGCCCGCAGAGGTCCCGGGACCTGAGCCGGGCCAGCAGGAGCAGCTGGTCTTCGGCAGTGGTGACACTGTGGAGCTGAGCTGCCACAGGCCCGCCGGCGGTCCCTCGGGGCCTACCGTCTGGGTTAAGGATGGGGCAGGGCTGGCACCCTCCGACCGCATCCTGGTGGGACCCCAGCGGCTGCAGGTGCTGAATGCCTCCCACGAGGACGCCGGGGCCTACAGCTGCCAGCTGGGGCTCACCCGGCGTGTTCTGTGCCGCTTCAGCGTGCGTGTGACAGGTAAGTGCCGGAGGCACCTCTGTCGGCCGCTGCTCTGAGGGCCCGTGTGGTTGCTGGTGGCAGGGGCACCCCCAGGTGGCGCTGCGAGGGGCGGGCAGGCCCGAGGCAGGCCAGGGAAGGACGTGGAGGAGTGGCAGGCACTGGATCTCTGCCCCTCTCACCTGCTCGCAGACGCCCCGTCCTCGGGAGATGACGAAGACGGGGAGGACGAAGCGGAAGACACAGGTGAGACCAGGTTCCCGACACGCAGGGCTGGGGGGACTGGGGGGGCTGGGGGCCTGCTCCCCACCCCACCCCAACATGCCCCGCCCCCCCCAGGTCTGGGGCCTCCTGCTCATCAGCGAGGTGGCAGGGCAGCCCGTGTGGCCGGGCTGGCGGGGCACGGCCTGTGTTGGGGGTGGTTCGTCTTAGGTGTGAGGACCCCTGGGCTGTGAGTCCGTCAGGTGGCTGCTGTGGGGCCCGTGGCCTGAGGGATTTGGGGCAGTGGGAGGAGACTGAGTCCAGATAGAAGAGGAGGTGGCCGTGGAGTGTCAGGGACCCCGGATCTGTGCACACTTGCTGTAAATGGGGTGGTGCCAGTGTTCCCGGTGAGAGACCGGCTGGGGTGATGACACCCAGATATTTTGGCCTGAGACAGTGGCAGGTGGACTTGGCTCAGCTATGGAGGGGCCGGTTAGGGGAGTGGGGGCATCTGGTGTAGGGGGAGCCCGGTTTGAGATGCCAAGAGATGGGGACAGGGCCTGTGGGTGGAACCTGGGCCTCGGCTCTAGCGGGCAGCGGAGGTGCGGACGGCCAGCCAGGGTCTGGGGAGAGGCAGGCGCCGGGCTCCCATGACTGCGGCTCCTCGGGCTGGGCCCCAGGACGAGCCAGCAAGGCTCCCAGGAGCTGCTGGGCATCTCCCGTTGGCTGGCAGGAGGCTCAGAGTCTAGCTCCCTGGCGGCCGTCCCCTCCACGCCTCTGCCCACCACGTACTCCTGGAGGCCCCGGCTGCCCTGGCTGTGTGGGGCGGGTTCCTGGTGTTTCTGTCTGTGGGCTCAGGGATGCGTGAGCCATCGAAGTCTCCGTCCCAGGGAACAGCCCTTGCCACCAAACGGCCGATTCCTGGGTCGCCTCTGGGTCCCTGTCCCCGACTCCGGGGGCGCTGGGAGGCACCTCTTCCCAGCATCTGTCCACACAGCGCCCTCCCCGCCCCCAGGGCCTCAGCGCCCTCTGTGAAGTGGCTTCGTGGATGAACAAGGTCAGGGCAGGAGCTGTCTCCCTCCTGGGGGTTGCCGGCCCAGCCCCCACCCCAGCCCCAGAAAAGGAGAAAAACCAGTTGGGCTCTGAGGGAGGGGTGGGGCAGGATGGGAGGGGGACCTCCTAGCCATCATGTCCCCACTCTCTGCCCGTTAGGCCCTGGAGCACCGCGGAGGGTGGCTCAGGATCTCGCAGACCTTAGCGCGTGCCCGGCCGCCTGCGTGGCTCCTGGTTCTGTGGGTGGCTGGGCCTGGCCTCCTCCTAAGCTGCTTCCAAGGCCTGGCCCTGCTCACCCATCCAGCTGGGCGGAACTGGCCCCTCTGCCCGCTGGGTCTGCCCCAGGAGAAAGCTTTTGTCCTGAAGGCTCTCGGGCCAGTGTGTCGCAACCTGGACCCTGGGCTGGAGTGGGCACTTGGGAGACATGGAGAGGAAGAGTAGGGGACATGTAGGGGACATGTGACCTGGCTTTGAGAATGCCGGAAGGTGGTGTCGAGGCTGCTGGGCATCTCGCCCAGCTCAGGGAGGGGTCCTCGAAAGGCCAGCGCTCCCTACAGAAGGGAAACTGAGCCTGGAGTGGCGGGGAGGGAGCCTCTGCCTCCCACCCCGGTGATGGCCGTTCCACGCTCCTTGCCAGCAGGGGCCCCTTACTGGACACGGCCCGAGCGGATGGACAAGCAGCTGCTGGCCGTGCCGGCCGCCAACACCGTCCGCTTCCGCTGCCCGGCGGCCGGCAACCCCGCCCCATCTATCTCCTGGCTGAAGGACGGCAAGGAGTTCCGGG